CAGTGGGAAACCAGCAGAGGCGGTTTTGCACACTCCGTTCAAGAAGCAACGCTGTTCTCTTACACGCGGGCACACACACACGTCCCACTCCCAAGCCTTTTTTTCTTCTTCTTCTCCCGTATGTACATAGGATCGCGCAGCAGGGCCACCCGCCCTCCTTCTCGGACGTCCTTTTGAAGAAGAGACACGCTTGCACACGCCTTCGTGCAGCCTTAGTAGCGCGCCACTATAGGGGTCGAGGAAAGGTGGGGAACAACGCGTGCACCCACCTCCCCTCCCCTTCGTCCTTTGCTGGGTTTACACACGGACACTTTTCACACGCGCGGAGGCCCCACACGCGTTTGGTCTGTGTTTCACACGCGCTAGACCGCTTCACACGCGCGCGCGTCCCCAGCGCGCTACTTAAAGGGATTCCCTTTCATCCACTTTCTCCGGCTCATCTACACGGCAACCGTACACGGGCTGTTGGTACTGTACTTCCAGATTCCGAATTTACAATCCAGATTGGGTGTGTGTGTGCGTGTACACACATACACGCTTTCTTTCTCAGACACAGGCCGACGAAAGAAGTGTGCACACTCTTGGCTTCGGGGAAACACGCGAGGATCCTTTCTCTCTTCCACACGCGTCTCTCTCGACGCCCCGATTTCGAACTCTTGTCACGTTGCGCACTCTTTGACACGCACGAAGATTCCCCCCCCCCTATTTTTCGTCCTCCGCCTCTTGCACACTTTCTGGCTCTTGCAAGCGTGCTGGATAACGTGGATTTGCCCCCATGCATACGCACAGTCACATAAACTCGAGACTAAGTGTTGTAAGCCGCCTAGAGTGGTCACAATGACCAGATAGGCAGGGTATAAATAAACAAATAAATAAATTAATTAAATAAATAAATAAATAAATAAACGGGGTAGCTAATCTCTAGACCCATACGCCGTCCTGCAGAGTGAGGGACTCCCTCATTCATGCATAGTCACTCTCTGCCCCCCAATACAAACACACACACACACACACTCTTGTGAAGGGAAAGTGAACCCGCGCTGCACCTTCAGCCCCCATCCGCGGCCCCAGCCCTTTTGCAAAATCAGGCCGACTGCATATTTTTTCAATTTCCTGACAGCAGGGGGGCTTAAAGGAATATCGATCCATTGAGCAGCAACGGGGCCTTTTTGAACGTGGGAAATACAATAGCCCGCCGTTCCTCTTTCTCCCCCCCTCCCCCGTGCCCGGTGTTGTACTTTTACTAAACATCTCTAATCCGATCGAGCGGCGTAAAATAATGCAGGCATATGTTTCGTCCGTCATCTGCGCCTATAGGAGGTTGCCTGGGTGTGTATGTACATGTATTTATTTATTTTACGCTCACTAAACCCGCGTGTTGGGGAGAAGGGACGCCGGCCCTTCGCGATCGGAGCCGGGGCGGAGAGGTTAAAAGCAACCTTATAGCCGCGATCAGAACGAAGGAGAAGCCCGGAGGCGAGGTTGATTTCTGGCGAGATAGGAGGGAGCGATTTCCTTTTTAGCCCATGTGCTTAAATAAAAAGCAATCCGGGAGAGGCGTTCTGGGGGAAATGCCTTATCTGTAATGAGTTTTGTCCCTTCCTTTAGACTGGGAGATTTTATCGAGGTTCAGTTATAAGCAGCACACGTATTTTGCCTTTATGCGGCGCCTAACTGGGGCTCGGGAGCTGGGTTTTTTTTTTTTTCTTTTCCAGATGAAATGTGTAATTGAGTCAAGATAATTTGGCATTTGCAATTTTTGTTCCTGAAGAAAAAAAACCTTTATCTAAATTGTATCTGTTTGAAGTTGCTTGTACTACTATGCTACCTTCAATACACATTGGTGTATATTGTATTTCATTTTTTGAAAAATTAATGCATATCATTATTATTGGGAAGGCAATAGCTTCTGGTTAGATCCTGCAAATGCACAAGTAGTAAGAGTATTTTGAAAGCTTACTTTTATGAGGGGTTGCATAGCAAATAATGGTCTGAGAGATCCCATGTGGGCATGGCAGGACCAGCAGTGTTTCTGTAGGCAAAAATTTGGGGATGAGCCCCCCCCACTCTGCTCAGACCCAGGGTGCTTCAAAATTACCACTCTTTGTGTGACTGTTCATCTCATCACACACATGGGCTTCTCATCTATGCATAACGGTAAACCAATATAGATTAGAATCAACTGTCTCACCTGTAAACCATGATGTTCCATGTATTCACATGTGATGCTGCTTGCAGCCTTGGGCTTAACAGTAACTCTGCCATGTTTGCAGTTGTATTCAAACCATGCTGAACTTACTGGGGCTTGCTTTTAAGAAACAGGCCAAATACAGTCCCAAAAATACAGTCACTGGGTTCCTCCAATATCTGTGCCCTCATTAAAAGAAGAAGAAAAAAACCCAATTTAGAAAAAGATAATTTGTTGCTACTGGAATCCTCCCTTTAAATATGTTACACCTCCTTTGCTATTTTGTTTCATTTTTGTGCAAAAAAATTACCCATTTTTACTCACACCTTGTTGCGTTCTGCCCTCTGAAGGTCTCATATAGCTGAACATATTCTCTTCATTATCACCATAGGTTGAAAATGCTGCTCTTTTGGGGGCACTATTAGTCCCAAAATGCTCCAGTCCACTGGGAGATCTTGTCCAAAAAAGGGAACATGTCCAAATCCTGCCTATGCCATACTCTTTTAATATATACAGTATCAGGCAACATCCAAACCAGGAGTGGGGGAAAGGAACAAAGAAAAAAACCTTAAAGACTATTATATTTTAATGTGAAAAAAAAGTGGAACCTTAAAGACTATTATATTTTGATGTAGCTTTCATGAATCAAGTCTACCTTTAATACAGTGCGTCTGTGGGTCTGAGCTTGGAAGGAGATTACACCTTAGAAGAAACAAGAGTACCCATCACATGTCACTCAGAGCAGGGCACAGGGGCAAAATCATCATCATCATGGTGCAGTGGTTAAACTGCTGTACGCCCATCACATGTCACTAAGAACAGGGCACAGGGGCAAAATCATCATCATGGGGGCAGTGGATAAACCGCTGTACTGCAGCCACAACTGTGCTCATGACACTGGGGTTCAATCCCAGGAAGCTGGCTCAAGGTTGACTTCTGTCCTTCCCAGGTCAGTAAATTGAATACCCAACTCACAGGGGTGAGTGGCAAAGTGTAGTCTGCATAATTAGCTTGTAAACTTCCCAGAGAGTGCTTTAAGTGCTCAGATCAGATTAGGCATCCTTTAGTCTCGAGAGACTATGCTAATGTGCTCTGTATGGAAGACTTGGAACAGCGTCTAGTTTGGCTGAGAAGGCCAATTCAAGAGTGACAATCCCTTTCACACAGAAAACAAATACAATCTGTCACCTGTCCAGCTCCCTGATTTTGCTGGTTTCAGGACTGCCTCTTTGCCTCGGCCTGCTGAACAAGTGTCTCTTCAAATTGGGAGAGGCCGTGATGCACCCCCTGCCTCTAGGCTGAACGCTCAGATGTCAGGGTTTCCCATCCGTTGAGGTCCATTCCTAAGGCCTTTAGATCCTGCTTGCAGATATCTTTGTATTACAACTGCGGTCTCCCTCTGGGGTGATTTCCCTGCACTAATTCTCCACACAGGAGAGATTTTGGTATCCGACCATCAGCTATTCTCACAACATGCCCAAGCCAACGTAGACATCGTTGTTTCAGTAATATATACATGCTAAAAATTCCAGCTCATTCTAGGACTACTCTATTTGGAACTTTGTCCTGCCAGGTGATACCAAAAATGCATCGGAGACAAAGCATATGGAATGTGTTCAGCTTTCTCTCCTGCCGTGCGCAAAGGGTCCAGGACTCACTGCAGTACAGAAGTGTGCTCAGGACACAGGCTCTATAGACCTGGATCTTGGCATATGTCGTCAGCTTCTTATTAAGCCACACTCTCTTTGTGAGTCTAGAGAACATGGTAGCTGCTTTGGCAATGCGTTTATCCAGCTCTACATCTAGGGAGAGAGTGTCAGAGATGGTTGAGCCCAGCTACACAAAGCTTTAAGTGCTATGGAGCAGTATATAAGCAGTACACTTTGCGTTTTTCTGCTTTTGCTTTTTGGAACTGCTGAGCTGGAAGAGACCCTATGGATCATCGAGTCCAGCCCCTGTCTGGC